ACAGTAGAAATAGATTTACGTGGTTTATTTCAACAGGAACGTGAGGGTTTGGGACAGCTACCTTGTGGCAAAGTTCATAAACCGGTTTCAGATCTAGGTCAATCCCTCATAGTAGTTCACACATGTTGACGGTGGTTGACGCTCTCCCGCTGCTGATCGCTCGGCCTGACCTTGACAGGTCTGTTTGCGGCCACCTGTGGACTGCCTGTTGAACTTCCGTGTGACCCCTTTTATAGTGTTTTTTTTATGGCTTAACAGGCTCGAAAAACGAAGCGAGTATAATTAGGAGGGAAGCATTTTTATTGGACGAAAAATAGAGCACTTTAAATATTATTTTATTTTTCGACCGGAACACGTGTGTCGGGAACATTTGTAAAGAAAGATAATGGTCATTTTGTGACGGGGCTTTGTCCCGTTCACATCCGGTTCTCGCTCTTGAATATTTGCCTGTAAATCAGCCGAGATATGTCTGTTTATTTTATAACAACTGTGAGATCAAAACAGTTAATACATTTGCTTACTTTTTTCTTTTTAAGCTTTTCACCCCAAGCAAGGTGGGAGTGCCACTAGAAAGCAAGGGGAGTGGGAACAAGAGTAAAGTGGCGGGATAGAGGAAAGGATGAAGAGTAGGACAAAGAATAGATCACAGCAACTGGAAATGTCGATTGACATTGCATTTGAATAGTTAGAGATTATAGCTATCGGGGAAGGGAGTTCCACAGATAAGAATTGCAAGACATGAACCTATTGGAGTAGAAGAGACGGCTACATTTAACCGTTTTGATAGCGAAAGGGTGGGACTGAGATGCCAACCTAGTAGCACATATAAATTCATGCAGTCTGGGAACTAGTGAAAGTAGCTTGTCACAGCAGTTACCATGAAATTATTTGTAGAAACGACAGAGGAAGGTGCTAACACATCTGTGAGAGAGTGACTGTAAACAAGGTGCTAGATCAGGGCCAACCACATTGCATATCTGTTTCAGGATTTTGTCGAGGACCTTAAGACAAACAGAAGGGGCTCCAAACCATATATGACAGCAGTATTCCATGCAAAGGCAAATGGTTGATTTATAGATTTGAAGGATGGATTTGGGCAGGAAAAACTTTCTGGCACAACAAAGAGAACCAACTTTCCTTGAGGTAGATAGTAGATAAAAGAGTGCAGAAGCTGTTGAAATGGAAGTTTTTGATTGGACTATAAAATGCCAGCTAAGTCACAGTTTGTTATGCACATTATAGAATCTGCTATAAGTGATGGATGGCACATATTGATACCTGATCAGTATTGGTTGGGTCACCATGGAGATTGGGGTATGATGTTGAAAGACCCCAAATCCCAGATGATCCTTGGCTAAGAACATCACTGATGATATGTTCCAAAGCATCAAACCAATGTATTTGACAAAGACAAAATTATTTTAGTATTCTAAGAAGTTGTAGTTGAGAGATGTCACAATTGATATCTGATGAAAATTGGCTAGGTCACCATGGAGATTGGGGTATGATGTTGAAAGATCCAAAATTTCTAATGATCCCTACCTAAAAACATGATGATGTGTGCCAAAGCATCAAATCAATATATTTCATGAAATCAAGTTATCTTTTTTTAATTATTCTCAAATTGCAGAATCCAAGAATTAAAGGTGCTTTTAAATTTAGAGTTTATTGACTCTTTTTTCACATAAACTGTTTTAAACATTGATAAATTAGTTTCGTTTTGAAGTTTTATATTTGATTAATTTGTTTTGGGGGTGAATGGATATTAAATTTTGTTATAAGGGGTCAATCAAGTAAGAATTTGAGAAGCTGGTTTTATTTTATTTGTTATTCTGTCCTTGACATCGTATAATATAGGAATCATGTATTTTAGTATTTTTCACTTCAAAATCGTCATCTTCATAATCATCAGTGCCCTAACCAAATGTGGTCCATAGGTTGCTGAGTACTTGACTGTCTCCCTACATATGTCTCAGTTGCATACCAATATCTGAGTCCCACTGAATGATCTTCCAAATCACTCAGTGGTATTTTCATTCCATTTTTTTTCCTTTGTCTACTTCATCATCTTTTTCCCAAGGTGAATGAGCCCAAAATGCAATTTGCAGGTTGGGAACACTAGAATCAAGCAGACACGGAAGATCAAATATCTGTCTGGGAAGTGTCTTGACAGAAGACCGTAAGTGCGACACTGAGATCCGTTGATGTATTGGGATGGCCAAGGACACATTCCAAAAGCTTGGCAGAGTATTGTGAGACAGAAGGATTTCTTTGGTAACAAAGAAAAGAATACTGAGTTGTTACAGGATCTAGGTAAATTGCTCAAAATCAATTGCTCAACAGTAAATTGCTTGAAATCAATTGCTCAAAAAATAATTTCTCAAACTGTTAATTGCTCAAAAGCAGATTGCTCGAAGTAATTTCGAAGTACCATTTAAATTTTTGAAGATCAAAGTAGACTGGGAAACAAGAAACCAGAAGAGAGTTCCACAAGTGAGAAGAGCAAAAGAAGAAACTCTCAGCATAGAACTTATGGTTACATCTAGTCATTTCAACTATAAAATGAGATTGACATTGCATTTAAATTTTTGAAGATCAAAGTAGACTGGGAAACAAGAAGCTGGAAGAGAGTTTCACAAGTGAGAAGAGCAATAGAAGAAACTCTCAACATAGAACTTATGGTTACATCTAGTCATTTCAACTATAAAATGAGATTGACATTGCATTTAAATTTTTGAAGATCAAAGTAGACTGGGAAACAAGAAGCTGGAAGAGAGTTTCACAAGTGAGAAGAGCAATAGAAGAGACTCTCAACATAGAACTTATGGTTACATCTAGTCATTTCAACTATAAAGCAACTCGAGGAACCATAGAGGAGAGTTCAACAGAATAATTACCATGAAAGTATTTATAGAAAGGCAGAGGAAAGCTATATTATGGCAGTGGGGAAAGTGACTGAGATGCCAGGTCAGGACTGATAACGTTGCAGATTCTTTTTCAGATTTCATCAAGAACCTGATATGTTTTTGATATGTCATCCACATTTTACAAGAATGAAGAAGAAAAGAGATACTCCTGAAAGAATACCGCAAAATAGAAAAAGTTGTTGTTGGTTCAGTAAATTACTTGCAGCTGAAGAAACAACTTATTATTCTTAATAGTGTGTTTAAAAAAAAAAAAAACAAGCAGAAAGAAGACATTTTAAGAGGAACAGAAAATAAATTGATGTTCCACAGGGCATCAAAGAACATAGTTAAGCAGTCCAGGAAGTACCAAATAAACCTAAGTAACAAGCACATCATGCAATTAGTGTTGAGAAATTGGATAAATTTGTAAGGATTGGTTAAAATTGAATTATTTCTGTTGTATCATGCTTTCTAAAATTTTCAAGTGTTGACTTGTTCAGACTGAAAGCTTAATAAGATTATCCAAAGACCTCCACTTAGGCATCTTCAACATCTTGTCATTCAAATATTCCAACTGCGGATAAAACAGGCTTTGATTAGTCTGAACGTGAACATGATCCTGGTGCTTTTAACATTTTGTTAACATAGCCAATTAAATTTTCTTTCAACTGTCTTCAGTCTTGCGATGCTGAAGTTCAAGTAACTAGATTTTAGAAAGAGATAGGATCAAAACAACAAAGTCTAAATAGTCAGCAAAACATTGTCAGTGTTATTTGTCCATTCAAAAATGCAACAGCAGTATTTCGAGATGCCATCTCAGAGTTTCTTCTTGCTGGCATAAGAGTGCATATATCCATGGTTACATGGCCAAGTGGTTAGAACTTTCACTTTCTAACTATGAGACCTGGTTTCTATGTGAAATTCTGGGATGCGAAGTTATGATTATTTATATTCAAACTAATGTCCTCATCTTTGTTGTTATTATCATCTGATTGCCTTCCGCTTGAATATCTGGTATGAGGAATTATCATTATTTACATTATGACTAATGTCCTCATCTTTGTTGTTATTATCACCTGATCACCTTCCACTTGAATTTCTGGGCTGAGGAGTTATCATTATTTACATTATGACTAATGTCCTCATCTTTGTTGTTATTGTCACCTGATCGCCTTCCGCTTGAATTTCTGGGATAAGGAGTTATCATTATTTACATTCAGACTAATGTCCTTATCTTTGTTGTTATTATCATCTGATCACCTTCTGTCTGAATTTCAAGGATGAGGAGTTATCATTATTTCCATTCCAACCATTCCAACTAATATCCTCATCTTTGTTGTTATTATCATCTGATTGCCTTCAGCTTGAATTTTAGGATGAGGAGTTATCATTATTTACATCTTTGTATCAATAGCAGACAATGTAACTTTCATAAAGATATATAAGTATCTCTTCAATATATAAGAGATATAAAACAGCAGATATTTTTATAGTGCTCAATATTAAAAATATTAAAATATTAAGAATAGAATTTTACTAAGAAAATCGATGTCATGATGAAAATTGATATTTAATAAGTTAAGCAATCTTTTCATACAATATATATATATATAGTCTTCTACTTAAATCCCTGGGATGTGGAGCTGTCATTATTTACATGCAGACTAATGTCCTCATCTTTGCTGTTATTTCACCTGACCACTTTTTGCCTGCATTTTATGGGATGAAAAGTCATCATTATTTACATTTAGACTAATGTCCTCATCTTTGTTGTTATTATCACCTGATTGCCTTCTGTCTGAATTTCTGGGATGAGGAGTTATCATTATTTACATTCAGACTAATGTCCTCATCTTTGTTGTTATTATCACCTGATTGCCTTCCGCTTGAATATCTGGGATGAGGAGTTATCATTATTTATATTTAGATTAATATCCTCATCTTTGTATCAACAGCAGACAATGTAAGTTTCATAAAGATATATAAATATCTCTTCAATTTATATATATATATATATATATATATATATATATATATATATATATATATATATATATACACACATCAGCTGTAGGCAATCTAAGTTTCATAATGATGCATAACTACATCCACATTGGCAGAAATATTAATATATTATTTGTTGATGATAGCAGTGAGACTAAAGTGACTGTTAATAGAAATAAAAATATTAGGTATTTCTGTTCACTCTATTTCCTTTTAGTGTTACTAATCATCCATTCCACTTACTTTATTCAACCAGTTACTACATTACCAAGGGAGAGTCTCAACACTGAGTAACTAGAGGTATCCTCATCTCTATCAACTTCATATATACTTAAATCTTTGTATTTTTACCACCACTAACTTTAACTTCTGCTTTCTGTCTTCTTTCTTTCTTCCTTCTTTTTCATCTTCTTCATTTTCTCTATTTTCTTCTTCCTTTTCTCTATTTTCTTTTTCTTTATTTTTCTATTTTCATCTTCCTTTTCTCTATTTTCTTCTTCCTTTTCTCTATTTTCTTCTTCTTTTTTTATTTGTCTTCTTTCTTTCTTCCTTCTTTTTCATCTTCTTCCTTTTCTCTATTTACTTCATTTTCTTTACTTTCCTTCTGTTTTTTATTTGTCTTCTTTCTTCCTTCTTTTTCATCTTCCTTTTCTCTATTTTCTTTTTCCTTTTCTCTATTTCTTCTTCTTTTTCTTTATTTTCTTTCTGTTTTTTATTTGTCTTCTTTCTTTCTTCCTTCTTTTTCATCTTCTTCCTTTTCTCTATTTTCTTCTTCTTTTTCTTTATTTTCCTTCTGTTTTTTATTTGTCTTCTTTCTTCCTTCTTTTTCTTCTTCCTTTTCTCTATTTTCTTCTTCCTTTTCTCTATTTTCTTCTTCTTTTTCTTTATTTTCTTTCTGTTTTTTATTTGTCTTCTTTCTTTCTTCCTTCTTTTTCATCTTCTTCCTTTTCTCTATTTTCTTCTTCTTTTTCTTTATTTTCCTTCTGTCTTCCATTTGCCTTCTTTCTTTCTTTCTTTCTTTCTTTCTTTCTTTCTTTCTTTCTTTCTTTTCCTCTATTTCTCTCTTCCACATCTTCTTCATCTGCTTTACTTCCTTTTCTAACTGACTTCAAATTAATGCTTTTTTTTTTTTCATTTTTCATAATTTTATTGAATGATTTCACAATAAAAAAAAAAAAATCTTTGAAAGAATAACATGAGATAAAACCTTACCTCCTGGCAGAAAATGGATTTGGACGTGTCCCACGTGTAAAGTATCCCAAAAAGAAAATGGCAGCTTTACGAGTCATGTATTTATAGATCTCAGAGTCAGATACCTTTGTGGGACTCTTTTTTTTTTGTACCTAGGCATATATGATCTGTCATTCAATCTATAAAAAGTGCTTAGCAAGATGATTGAGCAATATGACTGTGGTAGCAAACAGAAGACACGTGTTGGATTGGTAAAATTGCGCTACACTGTTTGGTGAAAGAAACAAATTAGGGAAATTTAATTCTAAGCAACAAGAAACTGATTACAGAAAGTTTAATTTATTAATTAGTTTCCATGCGTTTTTACTCATCACTTGATACTTTTTCTCTCTTATTGCCACAGCACATGAAACATTGGTTCTTGTATAATCACCGAAGTAAGCTTGGTCAGTACCTAAATGGGTGCCCACTTGGGAATACCAGGTACTGTAAGCTTAGATATGTCGGAGATGCAATAGATAATTGGAGAGCCACGTTCCAAATCCAGTTGGGTTCATTACATTTACATATGTACAAATACCCTTGGGGAAGGGATGGATCCACCTCTTCTCCTCACCCCATCCCAGCTATGAGGTCATTAATAAAACTTATATCATTAAACTGTTATTGTCTCCAAAAACAAAATAAAATTTCATACAAAATATTTAGATTTCAGCCTTAAATAACCCATAGAGGTGTTGATATGCTGTTAAAAAAAAAAAAAAACCAAACCAACAATCTCTTTTTTTTCTCTTCCTTTCTCTCTCCCCTCTCTCTCTCTTTTTCTCCCTCTCCTCTGTCTTTATTTTTCTATCTCCTCTTTCTTTCTTTCTTTTCTCTTTCTTTCTATCCTCTTTCTTTCTATCCTCTTTCTTTCTCTCTCTCTTCTCTTTCTTTTTTCAATTTCTTCCCTCTTTCTTTGTATTTTTTCATCTTCCATATCTTCCTCTCTTTTTTCTTTTTGCTTCTTACTTTCCTTTCTGTTTCTCTTTATTTTCTTCCATTTTTTTCTCTCTCTCTCTCTTTATTGTCTTTCAACTTCCTTCATTTTCTGCTCTTTCTTTTTCTCTCTCTTTTTATCATTTTTCTTGGTTCCTTCTCTTTTTCTCTTTCTTTTTCCTCACTTAATGTTTTGCTCGTTTTTATTTTTGTTTTTCTTTTCTCCTCTTTCATTCTATTTCTTTTTCTTTTTATCATCTTTCTTCTTTCCATGTCTTTCTTTCAGTTTTTTTCACTGTTTTTCTCTCTTTATTTCTTGCTTGTTTTTGTTTTTATTTTCTCTTTTCTCCTTTTTTCTGTCTTTCAATTTCTTTCTCTCTTTATTACTCATTCATTCTTCTTCCAAATTCTTTCACTCCCTGATTTAACCCTGATTTCATTTTTTTCCATATTAGTTTTAAGATTTGGCTTTTTAATCTTTTTTTTTTTTCATAATTTCACAATATTATTTTTTTTTTTTACTTGTTTGTGTTTTTTCATGGTTTCTGCATTGTCTTTTCATAATTTATTCAAAATTTGAAACCTGGAATTATATATATATATATATATATATATATAAATGATGATGAAAAAATGATTACCTATATCAATGATGTAATTGCATGCTTTTCAAACATTCATTGCTTTTTTTCTTCCCCACCCCTCTTTTATTCCTCCTGCATATTCTTTTTATATTTTCTTTTTCTTCTCTTTCTTTCATTTCATGTATTCTTCAATCTCTTCTTTTACACTCCATATTTCTTTTCTCTTTCATATTTTCTGTTATTCAATCTTCCTCAAACATAGCCTTTCTTTTCTTTTTTTTTTTTTTTTTCCTCAATCATTTCTCTTTCTTTCTCCTTCTTCACTTTTCTCTTTTTTCTGTCTTTTTCTCTTCCTTCTCTCTTTCTGTTTTCTTTCACTTGATTTTCTTTCTCTTTTTCTCATCACATCCTCTCTTTTCTTTCTTTTTCTTTTTCTCACTTTTTCTTTTTTCTCTCTTTTTTTTATTTCTCTCTTCATCTCTTTCTTCTTTTTCTATTTTCTTTCTCTCTTCTTCATCTCTTTCTTCTTTTTCCATTTTCTTTCTCTCTTCTTCATCTCTTTCTTTTTCCATTTTCTTTCTCTCTTTTCATTTCCCTTTTCTCTTTTTTCTTTGTTTTTCTCTTTCTTTTTTCTTTCCACTTTTTCTTTTCTTTTCTTTTTTCTTCTTTCTCTTTTTCCTTTTTCTCTCTTTTTTTCTCTTTTTTCTTGTTTCTCTCTTTATTATTTCTCTCTTTCCTCTTTTTTTCGTCTTTCTCCCTTTTTTCTTTTTCTTTCTATCTTTGCTCTTTCTTCTTTCTCTCTTTTCTCTCTCCTTTTCCTCTTTTCATCTTTCTCTCATTTTTCTTTCTTCTTTCCTCTCTTTTCCTCTTTCTCGCTTTCCTCTTTCTTCTTCCTCTCCTTTTTCTGTCTCCCACCATATCTTCATTTAACTTTTACATGAACTTTTGTTCTTTTATTTTGCCTCCTGTTTTTCTTAACTTTATTTTCTTTAATTCTTTTATTATTATTTTCCTTTCTTTACATTTCACTATTTTTTTATTGAATTCCTTTTTTCTTCTTCATTAATTTTGTTTCTTTCATTCCTTATTTTACTTTATTTTCTACTTCCTCTTTTTCTCTTATTACTTTCATCTTTTCTTTTCATGTTCTTTCACTTCATAACATTATACTTTTTTTTTAATCACTTCACCCCAAGTAAGGCGGGATTGCCACTAGTATGCAGGGGATTACCTAGAGTGAAGGTGAGAGAAAACATTAAGTATAGGGAAGATTTAGGAAAGGTCACCAGCTGAATGGGATTCAAGAAGATAGAAGATGGCGATTGACATTACATTTAGAACAAAAATTGCAAGCTCTTTTTTCCTCCAGTGCATTTCTTCTTCGTTACTCTCTTTCCTTCTCAAAATCTTTTTCAAAGCCAACTATTTTTCACATTGGTTGTTTAATGCCTTGACTGTTTAATCTGAGATTTAGAGACGAGTTACTGTAAATAGTCAAAATTTACAGATGAGTTTATTAGTAGAACTAGACAAAAAAAATCATTCCAGTAAACAGAAATATACAAAATAGACAAAAATTTGGCTTTAAAAAAATGAACAGAAAAAATCTCAAAGTTCGAAAGGGGTCAATTTTTTTTTTTTTGATAGTTCGCCCCTCCCCCACTTTCATTCTTTATTGCTTAATAGAAGTCTTTCGACTTCCATTTTATCTCTTTTTCCTTTTCTGTCACCAACTATGGGACTATATGTAAATTAATAATTATTTGTGACTAATTCTTGTTAAACGACTTAATTAGCAACATTGTTCACCCCTCTTTCCACCTATGTTTTTTTGTGTAACGATCAAAATCATAAATTTAATTTTATTTGATAATCTCACTTGTTAATTTTACCACGTTAATCAACAGATTTAATCAAATTTTCTAAGTTTACTCATTCAACATGTTTTGAACAACATTTATTTATATATTTATTTTCGTTTTAACACGCTGCATAAGTCATAATTTATTTATTTTAATCGTAAAAACAATGTAAACTTCTAATTATCTTAAGGTTGCATCTTTTTTTTATTTCTTATTTTATTTTATTTTATTATTTCTATTATTTTTTTTTCTTTACTAACAGTAATTATCAGTTGGGGAGATGAAACTTGAAAAAAAGTAAAAAAAAACAAAAAAAAACGGAAAACAAATAATTACTTTCTGAGTATCCAACAAGTATCCACATAAAAAAGAAAAAGTAAAAAATTCTCCGTAAACAACTTAAATAGAGCTCACACCATTGCGATTGGCTGTTGTTCAACTTCCAATCAAATTCGTGACAGAGGGGTAGGGTTTGCCTAATATAAGTCAGTGTCTGCAGGCTGTTAATTTAGATGGGGGCCGCATCAGAGACTGATCAGCTCTGATGGGGTCAACTTGGTGAGGGGGAGTATGATATTTGAAAGACCCGAAACTGCCCAATGACCAAATTCAGAACATCACTGACGATGTCCTCTAGTGCTAAAGAGCGTATATTCAAAGTATAAGTTCAAATTTATTCTGTATTACTGACCTACATTATCTTCCAATCAACATTGTTTATATTTATTTTTGTTCAGTCATTTCACCCCAAGTAAAACAATAACGCCACTAGGATGTAAGGGTTACTGAAATAATAAAGCGACTAGGATGTAAGGGTTACTGAAGTAATAAAACCACTAGGATGTAAGGGTTACTGAAATAATAAAGCCACTAGGATGTAAGGGTTACTGAAGCAATAAAGCCACTAGGATGTAAGGGTTACTGAAATAATAAAGCCACTAGGATGTAAGGGTTACTGAAATAATAAAGCCACTAGGATGTAAGGGTTACTGAAGTAATAAAGCCACTAGGATGTAAGGGTTACTGAAATAATAAAGCCACTAGGATGTAAGGGTTACTGAAGTAATAAAACCACTAGGATGTAAGGGTTACTGAAGTAATAAAGCCACTAGGATGTAAAGGTTACTGAAGTAATAAAACCACTAGGATGTAAGGGTTACTGAAATAATAAAGCCACTAGGATTTAAAGGTTACTGAAGTAATAAAGCCACTAGGATGTAAAGGTTACTGAAGTAAAAGCCAAGGATGTAAGGGTAGGAATGCCACTAGGATGTTACTGAAATAATAAAGCCACTAGGATGTAAGGGTTACTGAAATAATAAAGCCACTAGGATGTAAGGGTTACTGAAATAATAAAACCACTAGGATGTAAGGGTTACTGAAAATAATAAAACCACTAGGATGTAAGGGTTACTGAAATAATAAACCACTAGGATGTAAGGGTTACTGAAATAATAAAGCCAATAAAGCCACTAGGATGTAAGGGTTACTGAAATAATAAAGCCACTAGGATGTAAGGGTTACTGAAGTAATAAAGCCACTAGGATGTAAGGGTTACTGAAATAATAAAGCCACTGTGATGTAAGGGGTTACTGAAATAATAAAGCCACTAGGATGTAAGGGTTACTGAAATAATAAAGCCACTAGGATGTAAGGGTTACTGAAGTAATAAAGCCACTAGGATGTAAGGGTTACTGAAATAATAAAGCCACTGTGATGTAAGGGGTTACTGAAACAGATGTTCAAGAAAGAGAAGACCATAAAAAACAAGATTCAAGAAGACAGGAATTGATGACTGACATGGGATTTAAATCTTTGAAGATTGTAGCAGAAAGCAAGAGGAGAGTTTGTGGGTTATCCCAATTTTCCAAAAATTGTCACTAGGGGGCGCTCCTTAAGCCTATAAAACTGCATGCATTTTTCTCTGGAGCTTTTTCCTCTTTTTTACAGCTTTTTAACCCTGGTTTTATAGTTTAATAGTACGTGGGTAAAGTGCGCCCCACCACTGGTGCCAGATTCATCTTCAGGGTTTTGTCTATTGACTTTTGAACTCTTACACCTGCTTCTTATGCACTCATACACACACAAACAATCATATTCTTATTATAGCTGGTTTCCTGCCTTTTCCTTTCATCACATGTAATCCCTTTTATCATTATTTGTTTTTGTATTTTTTATTTTGTGGGACCATTTTTTACTTGGCTTCACATTGAGTCCACCAATATTGTTTCTGGAATAAATTTTCCAGGAGGCCATAAATATTTACCATCCAAAGTGTTGATTCCTGCAATATAATGGTGGCTAAATATTTGCCCAGTCATAAAAGCATCCCACACAAGTAGCACTGGCTGCTCAGTTAATGAATTTGAAATGTAACTGTTTCCATACAACAAAGTTTTCCTGCTTCTTAATACATTTGCTTTCACTATTGCAATGGACCTTTGGATTTTGGCTCGTAACAAGAGGAAGTAAATTATTGTCATTTTCATAGTAGCAGCCAACTCAAAAAATACATACTTCACTATACTCTCTCAGTTTATTGACATGTTTAAAGATTATACCAACTGAAGGTCAGACAAAACAAATAGTAATTCTTATAAACTTTTTAACTTGCATGGTACATTATATCAATTGGGAGATGGAAGATGAAGAAAGAATCAATTGAAGAAGAGAAATCCCCCCCAAAAAAGAAAAAACGCTAGAAGACAAATAGAAGAGACGAAGAAAAACCAGAGAAAAGCCAGAATTCTTCATCCTCTGAACCCTACCATATGGTGGCTGCATGCATCACTTCAGATCTGACATTAGACTCATTCCATGCAGAAGGAAATGTCTATGAGCACCTCAATACTTGACAACAAGTTCTACCAATGATGACAATATCTTTTCCTAATATATATATATATATATATATATATAATTGTATAAATGTTAATCACATGCACACACATAAGCACATTCTTATTTTACCTAGTTTGCAGTTTTTTCCTTCTGTCACATGTAATTCCTTTGTTAATATTATTCAATGTCATTTGTTTTATATTTATTGTTTTGCATTACACATTTTTTACTTGGACTCACAGTGAGTTCACCAATATTGTTTATGAGTTTATTCCAGAACACTGTAAATGTTTTACTCTCCAAAATGTTGATCCCTGCAACATAATGATAAACTAACACCCAAACATGCAAGTACCCTGCAACATATTAATTGTCTGATTTTTACTGTAGGGTCACTGAAAAGACTTCTTTCATGGAAAGTCACCTGGTTCCTGCAGGTTTTCTATTTGACAGCCATTATTTGGGAACACTTCAATTAACTACCAAAGTCTACTAAACTCCAACAAGAGCAGGGAAACATCATTATTACTAATTACAAAAAACATCACTATGGGGCGCTCCTTAAGCCTATAAAATGGCGTGCATTTTTCACCCGAGCTTTTTCCTCTTTTTTACAGCTTTTTCAACTCTGGCTTTGTTGTGTAGTAGTACATGGGTAAAATGTCCCCCACTGGGGGGGGGGGCATGCTCATTTTCATGCTTAATCACATGCACACACACAAACACAATCTTAATTTACCTAGTTTCATGTTTTTTGACTTTTGTTATATGTAAACCATCTTGTCAATATATACATTGTCATTTGTTTTTATATTTATTGTTTTGTGTTAATCATTTTTTACTTGGACTTACATTGAGTCCACCAATATTGTTTATGGGATAAATTTTAAAAGTAACCCATAAATATTTATTACCAAAAGTGTTCATTCCCACAACATAATGGTGACTAAATATTTACCAAATGATACTAGCATCCCACAACAAGTTGCACTAGTGAGAAGTATTGGAGAAACAATTATTACAGAACTTATAGTAAAAACTAGTAATTTCAAAAGTGAAATTATGAGACAAGGAATAAATAACTGTTGTACAACCTAGAAATTAATGACCGTTTAGAGAGGCATGCATTTTCATTTTGCTAATAATTATTTTACATTCTATTTGTCAATATTGTTTATATTTAATACTTATTAAATACACTGTTGATCCATACTACTTTAGTAACAC